ACTTTCGTGCAGCGCGTGAACTTGGACGCGGACTCAGCTTTTGAAATTTTCCAGTTCGTGAAGTGATCTGTGCCTTCCCTTCGCTTCGCTGTTTTGTGCCTTCATTTTTCTCCTTTTCCGTGTCCGTTTTCGTGCCACACACGAAATTGGATAAGCTCCCAATTCTTTCCATCTCTTCTTTTTGTGTCGAATTGTTATCTTTTGATCATTTATCATCCAAACCCGTTCCTACACATAAGAAACACATAATGAGTATATTTTACTTTAAAACTCATATAAACTCTCACGACTTACACAAGAATTAATATGCAAATATACTAAAAAATATACACTCTTCATTATCTACCAACAGACCTTACCCCGACCTAGTGATTAAACTAGAAATGTTATTGCATAATTTCGAGTAGTACAAGAGCTAATTTGATCCTTTTCCAACAAGAGAAGACCTTGAAGTCCCTATGAGCCTCGTTGTCCTAGGTTTTTCCCTTTCAGTTGCTCTCCTTATTTCAAAAAAAATAAATGCTACTACTAGTAAGATTATTATGCTAATGACAAGAACCAATTTCGTTGATGTGAACCGTGAAATGAAAATATAGCATAGAAAGATCATTAATTCGCAGAAGCAGCTATTTGAACTTGCATTCAAGAGTTAGAACCATGTAATCTGAGCTATATAATATATCTATCAAATAAAAGTGCATGGAAAATCTAAAAAGAACCAAACGATAAAAAACTAATCCGGGGGTTCCGAGAATCTAACTCAGGACCTCTCGCACCCAAAGCGAAAATCATACCACTAGACCAAAGGCCCTTGTTGATTAGAGGATTTATACTAATTTAATTGACTCGCGATTATGTTAGAGTGGTACCTTCTTGCGACCCATATTTTAATCAAAAGACTAAAAGACTCCTATTTAAGGTAGATCGCCAAACTACAATCGAGAGACTCTGTCTTGTTAGATTACTCTGGGTTTTCAAAACTTCATATTCAATAACCAGGAAGCTCAAAATTAGTTACTCCAACTAGTCTTCCGGTCGATATTAACTGCAGCACTTGATATTTTAATAACAAATTAATATTACAAAAAAGCTAATTGATCATAATGGTTACCTCTTACACTATTGACTTTGAGACTTGCAAACTGATTATATTATACATATTTCATAAATCTTGGCTGAATGAAGAACAAGAATATTCCTAGCATCAAATAAATTTCCTAGTTGGACTTAAACAAGGAGAATTGAGCACTAGCGCGTTATCTTTCTGGTATTATTCTAATCACGTACGGTACCCCATTTTGAGAACATTAAATTATGAACAAGTTGATTCATGGTTGACATCAAAATGTATGTTAGATTCTTAAGTTTTATGCGGATGATTTTACGCCTATAGTAGTACAAGTGGTCATGATCAGCTTTTGAGGTTCTTGTCGAATTATCATCAAGATGCCTCAACCAAGTTGACAATACTTCACTTGAACTTTTCAAATAGTTTTCACCATTTGTCACTATTCTTAAATAACTGGCCAAAACGTCGCTTCGCTTGTTTGGTTATTAGGGGAGCCAGAGGCGGATCCAGGATTTAAGCACAGCGGAGGTACCACTGTCTTTAACATAGATATATAAGCTAGTAGCGATAAAATTTAGCGTGCTAACTCCTTGAAAAGTTAATGATTATGAGTCAGTGATCAAAAATATCTTTTAAAATATCAAAAACTTACTCTAATAAAATCAAGATTAAATATTCGTTAAGTAGTTCAAGCAGAGTTTCAATCGCCATCGCTAAATCGACGGAGGTATGCTACTTTGCCGAAGTGATTTTTGAAGGCACGAGCATTTTGGAGTTTTTCTATCGCTCTTTTTGGGAGAAATTTTGTTGAATTACTTATTTTAATACAAGTCAAGAAAATGATGATGCTTATAAACTTAGTTATCATGATAAAGAATATAAATTGGCTTCTTGCTAATGGAATATTTTATTCCTCTCCAATTTTCTTTAATATTTTTATGTCTCTCTGTTACCTTTTTCAAATTCTAGAAAGACGTTTCTCAAAAAAGTTTTTGACTATTCTATATAGAAGCTCTAAAGAACTAATCGTGGAAAGAAGCTTGGTTTGAGGCTTTTGAGGGAGAGATTTGAAGGGAGCAAAGCTAAACTAAATTCAATAAATGTACTAGTGCTAAAATATTTTTGAACTCAGAAAAATTTAAAAAAAAAAAAGAGAGAGAAAACCAAATTGAGCTCTAAATACAGAATACTAAACTACCTTGAATTCAAAGAGAAAAAATAAAATAAAATGAAAAAGAGCATGCATTGCTGCTGCCGCTGGGTCTTGAACCCAGGTCATCTTGAGAGGGAGGAGCAAATGCCGCATGTTAAACCAGCCCAACAATCAAACTTTTGTGTTTGAGGGGGCACATCAAAATTGTTTAGGGGGTCCTTGATTTATATACAAGTATATATACACGGTTTTTGCCAAAGTTAACGGGTTCCGGTGACCCCTCTAATGACCATGTAGGTCCGCCTCTAAATGGAGCTGACATGCGCACTATATATTTTCAGGAGAAGGATCAAATATGTTTCTCTACTTTCATATATTGTCTACATTTAACCTTCGTATTATCCCACTAAATTTACCCATACCATCAACAAACTTTTAAAAATTACCCCTTGATTTGTTAAGTAACCCAAAATCTCTTAATTTTCTTTTATTTAAATCACGTGTTGTTCTTCTTGCTTCACTATTTTCAGAAATTACTATTGATGTGAATGTTAAAAGTTATAGACTATACAAATTATTCATGGATATTTTTAATTATCAATGTACCCACTTCTCTTCTTGTGATAATGGGTTTGGAATTGATTTTTCAACCATATACACATCGTAGAATTCAATGAGTCTATTTATTGTATATTATATGCAGCTGATCATCATGTATGTACATGTGTATTCGAATATATTTTGTTATTTTTTGATTAGTAAAGAGTTCGATCTACTAACTTAATTAAGAGTGCACGATGAGTAGGCATTTGATTAAAACAAAGTTGAATTCGACAATGTAAAGTCTCCAAGAAACTTTAACTCCTATTTGCAAAGTCTCCATACCTTTGGTGCATCGAATTCATTAAAGTTGGGATGTTGTAATTGCTTTTGGAATTTAGACAAGCTACCTAATTTAGATTCTTTAATTTACTATACTTTGTTTACTAACCGTTGTATTATTTTAATATATTTTTTTCTTATTTTTTTCAATTAAGTAAGCAGATAAATGCCAATTTTTTATTGAAAAATAGTGGAGCAAGAAGAACGGCAAGCGATTTAAATAAAAGATAATGGGGAGATTTTGGATTACTTAGCAGATCAAGGGGTAATTTTTAAAAGTTTGCTGATTGTAAGCATATTGGCCGGATAGTATAACGGTACGTAGGAATAAATTTGACCGAATAGTATAAAATGGATTAAATATAGAGAATATTCAAAAATAGAGGTATATATTTGGCCCTTTTTCTAATATTTTCAGAACTCGGAAAAAGGGAAATTCTCATTTGCAAATATATACGATAGAACGTAGCAAGAACCCAAATGTTGAGAGACAATTCAAGATTTACATACAACAAAAACACTTGGTAATATACATGTTTTTTTTCAAAATTTTATACACATCTAATATGTATACACACATATACATATACGGATAGATATATCTACAGTCCAAATATCTGGATATGAAATCAAGATTTACAAATTAAACATTAGAAGCATTATATATATTTGAAGTATTATCAGCTTTTGCTTCTACTTTGGTTATATCCTGCAGGAAGGGTTTGGGGAGAGGCCTCATGCACCTATGAGGATGCGCTATAGGCTGCCTATGTTACTCTAACATATGCAATAGCAATGATTGATTTCACGATTTAAATTCATAATTTAATAAATTACACAAAAATAATTTTAGGGTTGCCCCAAAACTCTTCTGATTCGATTAACTTGCAAAAATTAGAATTTAAAAGAAAAGGAGGAAAAAGTAAGGGAAAATGTGAAAGGATTCGTACGTGAAAAAACATGTAGCTACCAAAGAAGCACAGTTGGCACGTCGCTGTCACAAAAACAACTTGCAGTTCGTAATAGAGGAAGAAGGAGATGTAGTCTAAGACTCTACGTCAACAAAGTTTGTCCACATTGACGATTCTAATTAAGATTCCTTTACCAGCTACAACTAAAGTCCACCAGTAATAAATTACTTAATTAACTGTAAATCTAAAAGGCTTGTGAACCTCTCTCTTTCTCTCTCTCTCTTTTCACGTAATTAATGGATTAACCTACCCTTGAAATAGAAAAAGTAAGACCATATTTTCTTACGTACAACCGTCCAACTCTATGTTTTCATACTGCTTTGTGAGACTTAAAAGATAGTCCACAAAATCTTGGTGTGAATTTAATTATATTTTTCAAGGGACTGTAAGATAGTATAATTCTTGCAAAGTATGAAGGGTTTAACGTTTATATAATGACAGTGTAGAAAAACGAATATTATTACGTCATTAAAAAGTAGCAATATTATATTATTACTCTGTGTCCTTAATACTAGAGGAGTTTAAATTATATGCAATGATAATGTAAAAAAATATTTACATAATCAGGTTATTTATTAGGTAATTATAAATAAATTTCTTGATAATATTGACTGACAATTAGGTTTAAAAAAAACTTCATATTACCGGTTAATATATTAACATAAATCCATACTGTTTAGAGAATAGGCGACCCGTCATATATAGTATTATATAGGCATCAATCCAGTAGTATTAATATTCCATGTGCTGAACTCTCATTTGTGTCGTTCATTAATTGCTGTCTTCCTTTGGAAAATAAGAGGTGCCTTACTCTCAGCTCTGTGAAGATTGAAGAAGAAGAAAATATGCTGAGGATAAGATCAAGGTCGGTTCTCATACTTCCATCTCATCCACATCTTTTTCTTTATTAATATCTGTACTTGTACGAATATGTATAGAATTTACTGAGCTAAACTTTCCGATAAATCAGCTCGATGTGAGAGTGCTTAATTACTGCTTTTTTATTTTATTTCTTCTGTTCTCTACAAATCATGGCACATATTATATATCAAATGAGTATTATATATATCAAAGATAGCTCTGGAGACTGTAATTAAGCTCATGTCCGAATTTGTGAAGGTGATGATAGTGCCGGTGTTGATGGATTACAGGAATATAATTATCCAGATAATGAAGATTGTTTTCATTTCCCATTCTTTATCTGTTGAATTCTTTTTATACTAACTTGTTAACTTTAACTCCAGGGCCATGTCTATTTCAAGATCGTTGCTTCTTCAAACCTCCAGTAAGAAATTCTCTACCCATATAGAAAGGTATGTTGATGCTCTCTCTCTCTCTCTCTCTCAGAAGTTTAAAGAAAAGAGTCACTGTCGTCACATGGCCGACCTTCTTGGATGGGGAAAAGAATAGGTCCCTCCGTTTCTTGGACACATGTGCACTCTTATACTATAATTAAGTTGTAGAAGAAGTCAATAACAGATTTTAATTTCTATTTTCTTAGAAGATAACATTTGAGATTTTTGCTTATTAAAATTTGATTACTTCTTTGCTTGCCCGCTTTAGTAAATTAGGAGAGAATTTAATTTTTTTTCTTCTAATTTTATCCTTATCTACAATCATTTCCCAAACTAATTGGAGTATTAGTAATCAAATTTTGATTTTTAGAATATAGTCAAGATGATTTAGTAAATAAATATTTAATTAGTATTTTCTTGAGAAGAGTGCAAAATGCAAATTAGATAAGCAAAAGGAAACAGATTGTATACATATTAGTTGATAAGCTTCATATATATGTTACTTATTTAGGACAAACGAGTAATTTTTGCATCTTTGTACTATATTTTCCAGTAAGGGGCGACGAAAATAATTAATGAGCGCATTCTTTTACCATGCGAGTTAGGGGTATTCAAACCGAACCGAACCGAAAAACCGCACCAAATCGAAAAACAAAACTAAACCGATTAAAAAACCCGACTAGGTTTGATTTGACTTGGTTTGGTATTGAGTAAAAAAATCTGAACCAAACCGACATATAAATATATAAATTTTATTTATGTTTTTAAGACTTCCTAGTGATTTTTCTTTAGAAAATGTGGAAATATTTGGGATCCTCTCATGTATTAACCTTGAAAGCGTAAATTAACAAAAAATTATTGTTAGACGACTGAGAAAATAACTATTATGTGTTACTAAAAAAATTCTCTCATTAGAATATTTTAATAGATCATATGTTTATCAGTTTTTCCATATTTACTAAATATATATTCACTTATCAAAGCTTTATCTATAATTTTAACAAAGTAAGATTGAAATAATATTCATATAACAAAAAAACCCGAAAATCCGAAAAACCCGACAAAACCGGACCAATCCAAACCGATATAGTTGATTTGGTTCGATTTTGATAAAAACCGAACCAACCCGGTCCATGTACATCCCTAATGCCAGTATAACCACAAATTTAACTTAATGACTTTACCTAGACAATAGTAGTCAAGAAGCTATTACTACTCGAATTCATGATAATATAGTTCAAATTGTACCTCTTGATTACTATTACTAAGTTATCTCATTGGAAAATTATATACATGTATAATGTATTCTATGACATACACTATAAACTACGTGATACGTATTCCTCCATAACAAAAGACACCTTTTTTTTGTGGTCCCTTGTTTCTCTTTTTATTTTCTTTGCGGTCCCTCTTTTCCTTTTCTGTTAAAAGGTTTATAACCAATGGAGTAGTTGTATATGTAAGCAGCCAATAAGGTACAAAATATAGGAGGACGAGACAATGCTGTTTATAAAGTTGCATAAAACAATATTACCGCAGCTCGATATTACATCAAATTCGAAAAAAGTTGGCTTACTCAAACACTTTACTTGAACATTTCCTAATTATGGTAAGTTCTTTGACAATAACCACCTACTGCTGTGGTGTGATGGATTTATAAGATCCCTCCATTAGCTAGCTAGATGCCTCAGGTTTAAGTCATGGGAATGGAAAAATCTTGATAGGGTTACACGGAGCAAATCTAGATTAATCGAGACCCCAAAGCGGACACCAAATACCAAACATCGGGTGAAAACCAAAAAAAGAATCTGACGATAATTGTTTTAAGTGAAGAAACAGTAAGTGAATCAAAGTTGACAATATTGTGTAAATTCAGGAAACTAGAAGGCAAGGTAGCAGTGATCACTGGGGCAGCAAGTGGCATAGGGAAAGAAACCGCAGCCCAATTCATTAATCATGGAGCCAAAGTAGTTATCGCCGATATACAGAGGCAACTCGGCCAAGAAACCGCAAGTGAGCTCGGACCAAACGCCACATTTGTGCCATGCGACGTCACAAAAGAATCTGAGATTTCCGACGTAGTGGACTATGCCGTTTCCCAACATGGACAGCTCGACATAATGTACAATAATGCAGGTAAGTTAAGGAGAATTCAATATGTAACAGTCAATGCATGTGCACTGTCGTGTCCTTAAAGATCAGACCACAAATTAATTAAGAAGTGCACCTGCTACATTTAGATTCTGAATCTGTCTATGATTATGCAGGAATAGCGTGCCGAACACCCCCAAGCATAGTTGATCTTGACCTTGCACGATTCGACCGTGTCATGGCCATTAACGTGCGAGGTGTGGTGGCGGGAATCAAACACGCCGCTCGTGTGATGATCCCGAGGGGGAGCGGTTGCATTTTGTGCACAGCTAGCGTCACCGGGGTGATCGGAGGACTTGCACAACCTACTTACTCAACTTCCAAATCAAGCGTCATAGGAATTGTGAAGTCTGTGACAGCGCAGTTGAGCAAGCAGGGAATAAGAATCAATTGCATATCTCCATTTGCTATTCCAACACCCTTTTCATTGGACGAGATGAAACATTACTTCCCACGGGTGGAACCTCAGGACCTTGCTAAAATCTTACACAGTGCTAGTGAGCTCAAAGGAGCATATTGTGAGCCCATTGATGTAGCCAATGCTGCTCTTTTTCTGGCTAGTGAAGATGCCAAGTTTATTAGTGGCCACAATTTGGTGGTAGATGGCGGTTTCACCTCGTTTAAAAGTTTAAACTTAGCAGATCAAGTGCAGTGACGTTCCATATAAAATTGATATGGCATTTGATTCTTTACTAGAGTTTTTTGTTACTCAAAATCAAATGCATAGCCTCAGGGTGCACAAACTAGTTTGTGCTGAATATAACGGAATAGGCAAATTCGACTTAATGTTATATTGCTTATAGACTACCTTTCTGGAATAAAGGCAAAGCACGCACATCTTTCCAGATATTACCTACAAACTATAACAAGAAATTATTTACAGTATACTATATGATTTTCAGAAAGTTTAAAAAAAAAAAAAAAAACCAATCTCACAATATTTTGATGTCTCTTTTTTCCCCATGTAAATCAATTCGCAACTGGAAGCTGAAGGAGCATCCATATGGAATATAAGAGTTTCAGAAACCTCTTCTATTGGCTAGCAAATAAGGCCCTGGGCTTAGCACTGTCTGATTTGAGTAAAAAACTGTAACTTTTCTTCTACAAGAATCAAAATTGCTCATATACTATCCTCCGCATAAAGTCTTCTGGTGCTGCGAAAAAACAAGAGTTGAAAATTTTACACCAATAAAGCCATTGCTTTCTAAGAGAATGTTGCTTTAAGACATACAGTTTGCTTCAGAGTTCAGCTTTTCCCGTCTTACTTTCCTATTCTTTGGTGATAAAGCTATTGGACTACATCAGGTCTTTTTTAGGGAATTAAAGCAAACTAATCGGCAGTAAGGAGTCCCTATTGAATTAAGAGTCACTCAAGTTCAGCTTAGCCAAATTTTGCTATAAGCCCCACTACTTACTGCATATCGAACTTCAGTTATGTTCACTGCTTAGCAATATGGCCCCAATCTTACGATATATGGAGCAAGAAAAGGTTCTTTGTTATTGTGTAAAGAAATATACGATGGAGGAGAGAATAGCTACCTAATCCATTGGTGAACAATTTAAACTGCCCAATTGCCTGCCTGACGAACATCTCAACCCCACCCACCACTGCAGCTCCAACCTCTGTAGCCTCCTGCAACAGCCGCGTGTTTCTAGGTGTGTAAACTGCATCAAATACTAGCTCATATGATTTCAAGGCCTCCTGAAACAGCGGAAAGGATGCAGAAAATGTTAGATGTCAGCATTCTCTCATGCAACCAGAGAGGTTCACTTTTGTTAAAAATACTGCAGTGCAAGAAAGCCAACCTTGGAAATTGGAGTTTGATCTGTCCTTGGCTGCATGCCTACAGCGGAAGCATTTGCAAGAATCATTCCCTTCTCAGGGCAGAAATCATTTAGTTGTTCATATGGCAAGGCTTCACCAGATACTGCTGCGGCCAGAGCTTTTGCTCTCTCTTTTGGGGGAAAAAAGGATTGTGATAAGTGAACGGAAGACGTAAATGAATGAAGATCAAAAGACAACCATAATTCTTAAGGAGATAGGAGGTAATACCGTATTTGCGGTTAAATATTACAACCCTTGCCCCTCTGCTTTTGACACCAAAAGCAATAGCTCTCCCAGCACCACCTGCTCCAACTAATACGAATAATTTTCCAGCAATTGGAGAAACATTTGATGCATGGCCATTTGTCTTTTGTCTCTCTGTTTACACACAAAAATTGGAACTCCTTATGTAATTGGATTCAGAAGTTTTTGAAATGGTTTCCTAAGAAGTTTCTACATTTTCTTTTGGGAGGGCTACAGACCGATGAGGGGGAAAGGAATAAGAAAATGAAAAACAGTGGCATTGTCATTGTCCAATTTGTAAGCCAAAAAGATGTAAGATTATCTGGATTTCGGGAAAATCTATTGTCTTGCAAAGTGACTACAGAATTAAACCACTAAACTACATTGATTAAGTTTTTTTGCTTGTACCTTTCTACTAAGAATATTAGGTTTTTTTTTTTTTTTAAATTCTGATAAAGAACAAATCAGTACCTCTAAGCGCCTCCTCAATTGCCGTCACACAAGCCTCACAATCTGTATTGTAACCAATGAGCTTGCCATCAGAAGGTCTCCTTATAATTGTGTTAACAGCTCCTATAGACTGATTTCCAAAAGCATGATGCAATTTAGAAAGCTTTATTAATAAGAGAATGTAGCCACAAAATAATCTGATATGGCTAAACAAAAAACAACTGTATAAAAATGCCAAGTCCAAACTTTCAAAATACTGGTCTAATCTATAGAACAAAATGTTTGTCCATGCAAGGACAAACACCTAAAAATGTGTGTGTATGTGTGGATGCTGCTGTAACACCTACATGACCAGTGTAATACCGCTACTTAGGCTGCCTTCAGCACTTAACCGTAATGGACTAAGGCAATCATACATAGCTCATTTTGGAAAAAGAGAAAACCTGAATTATACTATGCCTAATATGATAAGGTGATTCAAGCGCATCCAAGACAGTAAGCTTTTGTTTCCTCTAATTATATGCACACCTCTTGTAGCCATATTAAACAGAGTGATGTTTATAAGTATTCATTATATAAGAACTAGTGAAGCTGAACCAGCTTCAGCAAAGAAATTTTGAAAAGATTGTGCACTTTGTGGTTCTTCATCCCCCAAAAGCCAAAATAAAATTATGCAACACACAGCAAATCCCAAGATTAAGCTTGGTTTAGTGTACCATGAAGGTGTGAACATTAGACTTGTTTATAACCGGGTTGAGCTGCTTTGATGTTTTTCAGGATAAAATTGAACAGCTTGATATTTGAATTAAACAGAAAAAGCAAAGACAGAATACACAAAAGATAGAGACATCTAAAAGAGCATAGTTATACACTCATGCACTCACATAAAGAAGAATTTACGGCAGAAACAAACATGGTATGGTCATCATTTTGGAACTAATCAGACCTTAGCAAGTGGATCTACTTCATCACAGCACCGTACTGCTGCTTCCTTATGTGGGAGTCCAACACTACACATTCCATCAAAAGGAAGAATATCATGCATTAGATATTTTTTCTACATGAAGGCAATTTTAGGAAAATAAAGCATATAGAAAAGCAAAATATTGCAGGGTACATATCTTCACATCCCAAAATGTTTAATGCAAGTGAGAATGTCAAACTAGTAAGATGAGTGTTGCTTATATAAGCTTAATGAGAGGAAACAGATGTCACAAATACATTGATCCCTTGTTAAGCACTGAAGTTTGTTGATATCCCTACAGATGCTGCACCCTGTGGTCTTATTCAAACGTACAACATACTAAATTGAAGCATAACCAAAACTTCAACAAAGGATGCAGTGCAATAGGCATTAAAATTATGTACATATGGCATAGATTTATACTTGACGAGTAGGAATCTTTAGACATTCCTAATACAATCTGGCAATTATTCATCATTATGCAGCACATAACAATTTTAGCTTGTACATAAGGAGCATACCTGAAACCAGCATAGTCATTGCATGAGAAGACCCGAAAAAATTCCTTGATATTATCAACTAGTAGAGGCACATATATTCCATTGTATCCTGTATGTCTAAAGGCAGGGTTGTGCAGAAGAGGGCCCTTGCTATGGCCAACAGGATTAGAGATTACACCAAAAACTCTAGTATCTGTGTTCACATATTCCAGTTTATAAACGTCTTTAATGCTAGTCAAAGCTGGCAAGCCAGGGGTGGATTTGCCTCCTAAAGATCCACAAACAAAGAAAGCACCATATTTTGGACCCAATAGTTGGCTTATAAGACCTCTATCTCCTGCTGCCCTGGCAATTAGAGGCACCTGCATAGAGACCTTATAATGAGGCAAAAAAGTACCTCATTCTCAGTTTTAAAAAGAGAATTTCAACAAACTTATCACTACTCACAAGAAAACTAGCATTAGAAGATTTTCTTTACAACCATATAAGCCCAAGAGATGGCTGCAGATACAAATAAGAGGCCATATATATGGAAGAATATGAGAGTATTTTCTAATGAACACTTCACCGCAGAAAAATTTAGTATAACAATCGCAGTTTGCATTAGAAAGATTTTAAAGCAGACCCCCTTTTTTCTCTTCTTGTCAGTAAGTTGAATTGAACAAGTATACCATCAGCGGGGATGCAATGTAGTTTCTACGGGTTCAAGAGAACTCGGTATCTTTTACACGGATGATAACTATATATATGTGAATGATCACTAAAATTGCAACAAATTCAGTAGTGAGAATATAAATACTTAACACCTCAAATTAAATTTTGGACCCACCTTTGAATATCAATAGGTGTAAAGCTAAAATCAAGTTGAGGATGTGTTTTTGCANTAAACAACTTAAAAGTTACAACATAAACATGTAAAAATTTTGGTAAAGGGTTTTTAGAACATATTTATATTTTTTCTATTGTTATGTAATTTTACATGTTCATAAATATTTAATAAATTATATTATTATATAAAATATTAAAAATTAAATATTTACCGGGTTTATGCCCCGTGACTCGGGACTTATGGCTTGGTGCGGCATATGTAAAGCACCTCGTTTTAGGCCCACCCCATTTGTAAAAATGTGTAGTGGTATGAATATTGAATAGAATGTTGAGGAACGAGTGATTCAGCCGACAAAAGAGGGTAGGAGTAAAAGGAACAATTCCAAAAGATCATAACGAATTAATAAAGAAAGAATTACAAGAAAATACACATGACTTCACACGATAATAAAAAATAGCTTATGTTTTTAAGTTTTACCTCACCTAACACATATTTTACATATTTTAAAACCATTAGTAAATTCAAAATTTGTGTTCTTACAATCATTGCTTCTAAAAGCTATGAAGTTAAATATGTGTTCTCACAATCATTGCTTTCACTCTCTCTTCTCCTCACATCTTCTACATATACTTCAAGGGACCATTATTTTCTACTTCTCCTCTTGTGTCAGCTACTTGCAATGTAAGAAAATTGAAGAGTAGACGTCTACCATTGAAAACCATTCAAAGCTTTGCTTTTGAAAATGGTTTTTTTTTGAATTTGTTAGTTGTTTGGATTAGGTGTTGTTCCAATTGATTGAAAATATCAAAAAGAGTTCAAAATTTAAATTTGAAGTGATTTGGAATAGATTTGAGCAAGATTTGAGTTAAATTTCAGAAAAGACGCAAGAAAGAAGACGAAATCAGTTTTTTGTATAATTATGTATAATATTGTATAATAGTGTATATGAGTGTAGAAACATACCTTATACACCATTATACACTTTTATACAAGCGTCTGTAGATGAACTTCTTTCACGATTTTCAGTTGCAATTCTTGTTCAAAACCAGTCCAAATCTTCATTAAATGACTTCAAATTTTATATACAACCTCCTTATACTATTTCTAACAAGTCTAAATAACACCCACTCCAAAATCTCACAAAATTAATTCGGAATTTAAACATACATATTTAAGCTTGTTAAAAATCTAATTTTCACCACCCAAATGAATTTGATTTGTTGAAATAATATTTGAGTCACAATTACTAATTTGAAAATTAATTTAAAAGCTTGAGGAATCTTTTTTAAAAATTAAATAGTAATTTTGAGAACTTATTGGAGTTGAATGTTAAATCTTAGCTTATTATTTTTGTGCTAGTTGATTGTAGATTAAAATATGGGATATAAAATTGAAAAGTAAGGAGCCCAGTTGTTCCAGTGTGAAATTTTACCATTAATAAATGTGGGCGGGCCTCGAATTGGGCAAAATGCAACCCTTAACATCCCTATCATGCGGACCCCTTAAGAGCCGTGGGCAACGCAGGGGCTGCGGTGACCATTCACGAATGCAAAGTAATGGTAGCTGCTTAACTTCTTTATACTTAACATCAATTTTAAATTCATTTTCGTAAATAATAAAAACATGTGTAATTGTATTTCATACATTACACTTACTAAGTTAATATCTTGAATCAATCTCTACGACGACAATAACAATATCAATAATAACCCAGGGTAATTTTACAAGTGAAGATATGAAGAGGACAAAATATACGCATACTTTACCTTTTATCTAGTAAAAATAGAGAAATTATTTCTGATAGACAAATCTCCGGGATGACTATCAGCTAAAATCCTTCTTTCATCTATTTCTAATAGTAGTAGTTACTCTTCCTTTTACGTACACAGAGAAAAAAGTAAGCATAGTAATCATTCAGTGACTCAAAATCTTGAAACTACTATCACTTGGTCACTACCTAAACCCCTTCCAATTAGTGTATCTAATAATTGCTTTACCTTTTTAGTCTTTTAGAGATTTTGCAATAATGTCAAGTTATACCTTCAAAAATCTTGTGATGTGAATTGTGATATACTCTGGTCTCAGTAAAAAGAGAATCTCTCTTAGAGGCTTTAGAGCAAGATGGAGACAGAAGTTACCAAATTGATGTAAAACATTACTTAAATCAATTGGTAAGTGGGGAAAATCTTGGTTGGTCACTTTCACGAGCCCGACATGCTTCACCTACCCTCCTCACTCCCTCCTTTTACAGTTTGACGTGCGGTGGAGAATTTAATAATAGAAACTCATAACATACTCTAGTTTTGTAGGGGGGATAAAAATATGAGCAAGAAAACAAAGAAACAGATATGAAAATCCAGAGAAGCAAACAAAAGAAAGTGTGTTGGACATTCACCTAACACTCTCCTCCTCACAAACTCACACATCTCATGTCCTCTTTTCCTTCTTCTTAGCTCATTAATTAAAAATAGTAACCAAACCCTCAAATACTTGAGCTATCAAGTAGCATTTGAGTAAAAAGGAAGCCCGAACAAGGTATCTTGCATTCTAATCTAGTGCAAGTATTAGTGGTTGCTTCCACGGCTCGAACCTGTGACCTATAGATCATAGGAATACAACTTTACCATTGCTCCAAGTATCATTTGAGTACTTGGGAAAAACAGAAGAGGACTTGAAAGCAGAGTCGGATGGGGTGTGCTGAACTTATTGCTTTCAGCTCGAGCTATGTATATATACATTATAATTACAAGATCACAATCATTCTGAATCTACTGAAACTATAATAAGAAAGGGAGAGATATATCTTACCTGAAAGAAACGATGGAGGGTAAAGTCCTCTGTTTGAGAAGGTGTTCAACTTGTGAAATGTGGGAGAAAGTTAAAGAGTCAATACAAAGCTCAACTAGATCTGCTCCTTCTTCCTTTGCTTTTTGCATACAAACTGCCATTTCCTCCAAGCTTTCACATTCTAATGTTGTGTACACCAAAAGGTCCTGCCTGAAACCCATGATCCACAAGTACAAAGATAGATAGATAGATAGATGGCTCCGAGCAAATGTTTATGCAAAAGAGTTACAATGCTATGGTTTTTAGGACTCCTGTTTTTGGCTAATTCTGGTTGAAAGGGGGAGATTTGTGTTAATAGAGAGGGAAAAGAGATGTGCGGTCAGTTATCAAATTTTGTTATACTACTTGGCTGCACATACTCCGCAAGTGTTCGCTTATATAAAAAATAAAACCTATATAGTGACATATCAAGTGGAGGGATTTAAATAATAATAAAATAAAAAAGTGGAGTAGTTTAAAGATACTCGTATATATAACACATCCTAATAGTGTAAGAGTTAAATTATACATGTAACTTTAATTATATAATCATGTCAACATTTTTCATATATATTTACAACCATGGACAGTTACCTATATGGGTGATGGTTAATATTATTTTTTCTACTGGTACCACCTATGTACCCAAAACATGTCACATCAGCAATAATGTAATGAAGAAAACAATAACATCTTTTGCTCATTAATGAGTTCAAATTTTACACGGTCTTATACTTAACTAACTAGTTAGGACATGGGATATCTGACCCAAGGGACTCAATCATTTTCTCATAACCAAAAAAAGGGAAAATCTTCTTATTTTCATAATTATTTTATTAATATAAGCATACTATTATGATGAAATCTATTTCTGGCAATGAGCATGAGAGACTCTGCTCCCTTCCGGCAGGGTATTAAAAATCCAAAATAGTTAAACTAATTAACAAGCATTCAGTTATTCCTTACTCTCAAACTAGTTCTATTCACTTTGTATCTATATATTTTACTTTATAGTAACCATTCAGTATGTAAAGGATTCATCATAATTAAATTATTTATACTATGATCATCAACCTATTACAATCTTTCTCCTTTATACGAGTTTAATAGCCTGTTTGGCCAAGCTGGAGAAATCAGCTTATTTTGAGAAGTGTTTTTTTCAAAAGTACTTTTGGAGAGAAGCAGTTTGTGTTTGGCTAATCAGTCTGAAAAGCACTTTTGAGAAATAATTTGTGTTTGGCCAAGCTTTTTAGAAAGTGCTTTTAAGTGTCAAATTACGAATAAGGACGTGAATAGATTTACTTAATAATTAATATTATAAGTAAATAAATAATATCAAAATTTTGTTATTACATGCAATAATTAAAAAATCATTTTATTTAAGTAAAATATGAAAATAAAATTAAAAAGTACTTAATTCTTTTAATATAAGTTAAATATATTAAAATTCCTTCAACAAATATAAAAGCATTCACCCCCAAAAGTCACTATATATTAGAAAGTTTTCCTAAAAATAAGAAGAAATATTTATAAATTAATATCCTAAGTATTAGGTTTAAGGGTTATTTTGGTATATACTATATTTTGTTAAGGGTATTTTAGGTAAGAAGAAAAGCCAAAACTGCTTCTGCTTTTGGAAAGAAACTACTTTTTTCTGCTTCTGCTTCTTCCCAAAAGCATTTTTTTTCCCAAATAAGCTTGGCCAAACATCTCAAATTAGGAAAAAAAAATGCTTTTGGGAAAAAAGCACTTTTTTCTCTTGAG